GCTGGTCAGCGCGGTGAGGGCTCCTGGAAAGGCCAGGACCTGTCCCCGCCCAGAACCCCGCACCTGGCGGACTCCTGTCTTCCGGAGCGTCCTCCTCTGATCGTCCCCTGGACGCCCCCGGTCCTCGCCGCGGGCCACGGCTCTGACACCGCATCCCCAAGGCGTCTGGCGCTGCGCCCACCGCCCGTAACCCCACTTAGGATGCCTGCGTTTTTCTTGATTTTCCAAGCTTTCTGCACCAGTGGACAAGGGCTGTTGCTCTCTGATCCTGGGTTTTACCAGCAACCCAAATAGTGATCTCATTTTCACTTCTATCCTTTTCTCCATACACTTTCATGGAAATAGCCGCCAAATAGTAGTGCTTATAGAAACATGCAGAAGGCACAGTTCCAATCTTCCCAAATACCGTAGATTGTTATCTTAATCAGTATTCTAGGCTGTCTCCTGAGAGGCCAGACGCTGGGTAGTGGGGTTGGAGGGAGATCAAGGGGTTTTTAGGACCCCGGGCTCAGTATGATTGGGAAAGCCATCCTTCTGGGTCAGATCAGGTCAGCCCCAGCCTGCTGAGGCCAATTCCCACCGTTTCCAGTAGGAATCATCCGGTTGGATAATGCCGGTTCCTGTTTTCTATTGGATTCCACTCTGGCTTCCAATCAAGGCCCTCAGATCAGATTTTAGCTGTATTCTGGAAGTACTTGGAGTTTGTATTGACTGGGGGCCTAGCTACCACGTGGGATGGAAACGATGATGGTAGTGAATAACACACTTTCTGTTGTGGCTAGAGTAGACTGGAGCTAAGTGTCCATTTCAATCTTCATCCTCCTGGTGTGTCTTCCTGGTTTGCGGGGGGTGGGACACCTAAAAACTACATTACCCAGACTTCTGTGCAGCTAGCGTTCTGCAAGATAGGCTCCACCTATTAGATTCACTTTGATAAGATTATGCAGACACAGCTTTTTGTTGCGCCTGAGATGTAGTAGGGTTTTCAGGTTGTTTGTTTTTCAACAGCCTTACAGTATTGGAAGCTCCCTCAGTGTAGAGAGCAGGGGTGGTGGGCAGGTGCTTCCTGACTTTGGCATCACAGCTACAGTGGTATATTCTTGAAGTCACAATTTCTTCTTTTAAAAAAATATTTAAAGATTTTATTTATTTATTTATTTTTAGAGAGAAGGAAAGGGAGGGAGAAAAAGGAAGAGGAAATATTGATAGATTGCCTCTTGCACACGCCCCAACCAGGGACTGGGACTGCAACCCAGGCACGTGCCCTGATGGGGAATCAAACCATCAACCTTTTGGTTTTGCGGGATGATGCCCGATCCACTGAGCCATACCAGTCAGGGCAAGTCATAATTTCAATGTCAGTCTTCCTTTGGGTAGAACTAACAGTTCTCCGTGGGCCAGGCCCAAATCCATCCCACACCATACCCTTCCCCACTCTGGCTTCACCTATCCTCGCAATCTTAGTAAACGGTACCACTATTCATCCAGTTACTCAGACTAACAACACAGGAGTCACCTTGATTGCTAGTGTCTCAACAGCCCCCACACCCAGTCCACTTGGAAGTCCTGTTGTCTTTATCCAATATGCATCCAAATCCGGCTACTTCTCTCATCTCCACGGCCAACACCACGTCTAAGCCACCTCCACATTTCTCCTGGGTTCTGGTAATAGATTCCGAGATGGTTTCTCTGCTTCCTATCTTGCTTTCAGATAATCCATTTTCCATATAGCTGCAGAACATTCTTTTAAAACCATAAATCAGATAATTTTTGCCCCTGCTTAAAAATCTGTAAGTGGCTTGCCAGTGCCTTTAGAAAACATTCCAAATCTTGGCTGTAGCCCAAGATGCCATGTGATCTGACTCCATCTCTGCTGTGCCACCTCTTTTTCACAATACTGTGGTCCTTCTGACCTTCTTAAGTTTCCTCACATCCAGGTGTTCCTGCTTTAGGACCTTTACACTGAAAGTAACTTCTGCCTGAAATATTTTTTTCCTCAGATCTTTAAGTGGCTATTTCTGTCGTGCCATTGACTTTTTTTTTTTTCCCCGTAAGAGAAAATAACCAAACTTAATGCGTACATATGTATGGGAACCCCACATACAGGAGAGAGTCAGAGTCCCCAATCACAACAGATTCAGAGTTAGAAAGGGAATATGGGCGTATAAGACATTCTGAGCTAAGTATGAGGTAAGGTGCCTTGGGGCTTTTAAAAGGTCATTGCAGGATGACAAGAAGAACAGGTGTTTACTAAATAGAAAATTTTCCTGCCCTATAGATAGGTCAAAACAGGTTGTCTCTGATCTTTTGTGGGCAAGTCCCCTGATTTTAAGTTCTTCCAGGTAGTTAAGAGAGGGGCAGAAGTTTTCTTTTGAACCAGTGGCTAAAGTTGCCTTTAACTCAGAACAATCTGCAAACCACAGAGGCACATCTTGGGGTGACTTGTTCTGAACCCCCACAGTTCCGTTTTCTGAAATTTCCCTGGAAGTTTCGCATTCCAGAAGTTGGTTTGGTAGATTGTTCTGTATCTCATTAAACCATTCTCAGTCTTGAGAACAGTTCAGTTCAGTCAAACAGTTGTATCTCATTTTAGGAAGGGCTGATGCAGGTGGGCTCCCAAAGATAAGCCTGTGGTGCAAGCAATCAGGTAGGCATCTCTATGGAAACAAAAGAAAAACAAAGGTTAATGATTGGAACAGACAATAATCTTGGTTTCCGAGTTCTGAAGGCAGCCAGTCAAGATTTCTAGATGTCTAACTCGAATCGTCCTTATTTTCCGTTCAGTGTTATCTCCTTGGAGAGGCTTTTCTCATCACCCTGCTGAAAGCCATCACTATTGTACTTACAGCAATGATCAGCAGTATCTGTCCAAAGCTATTTATTTACACGTTCACACTTTTCATTGTCAGGGTCTCCCACCAAAAAGTAACCACAGTGAAACAAAGATTCTACTCCCTTTGTGCTGTGTCCCTAGTACCTCTGTACAGAGTAGATGCTTAATAATAAATTTTGGATTAATTAACTTCTTTACAGCTCAGTCTCATTCTAGGGGTGTGTGGGGCTCATAGGAGAACAGAAGGCATTGTATTATATTATGTTATATTATAAGCCCTTCCTCCTAGTTTCCGGAACTGGGTTCTCTTTCTCTCTCTCAACTGGGTTCTCTTTTTACGTAGTACTGAGAAAAGTGACATATCTAGTGGAGAAAGGATGAGGACTAGGATTGGAACTCAAGAGACTGGTATTGTCCTCACTCCTCCATAGTCAGGAACCACTGGGGTAGGAGGTGAGGAGTGTCCCTTCCTAGCCAATAAAGCAAAAAGAGACACCAAGGGGCACCCCGTCCCTCATCTATGTCTCCATATAAAAACACTGGGGCCCTTTACAATGGCTTCTCTTTTCATCACTGGTGCCCGGGTTACCTAAGGGCCTCTGATGTTCTGCCCTCCGCTGTGTCTTGGAGTTAAGTCTTCTGGGTCACCGATCACAGGGTTTGCCTGTGGCCGGGAAGAAGATGTGGGTTCGTGCTTTCACTGCAGGGTCGGTCTTGCCAAGGAACGTGGGAGGTGCCTTGAGGGATGTCGCTCTTAGGACACTCCCGCTGCCCTGTCTTTTGCAGATAGCAGCCACAGGCAGAGAACTTCTCCAGCTACCACAGGCAAGGGGCGCCATCAGGGTGTCCGACATACCTCGGGCTCAGGCCTCCAGGTTCGGAGAGCTCTCCAGTCATCTGGTAAGCTCGGGCGCCCCCCTGTGGTCCCGAGGGGAAAGTGTCCGCGTTTACCTTCGGGGAAGGCCGTCAGAGTGGCGGGAGAACACCTATTGTCTTGCTATCCAGAGTGAGGTCCGGCCTGCTCACCAACAGCATCAGCATCTCAGGTCTCAACTCCACAGCTACTGTGTCAGAGTCTGCCCTTCAACAAGATCTGCACGTTTCAGGCTGAAAGGCATTGCCCTGTTAGCTCCCAGGACGGCCCTGGAAGCCCTTCTCTACAGTGAGATGCTGATGTTGTATAGGGAGAGCTGCCAACAGGCATGCCATACTTGCCCTTCCCTCTTCCAGGGCCGGGTGGTGTGGCTGGCAGCAGTGCGGCCTGGGTGCTTTGGTAACTGGGAAGCACTTTTGTTTTGGTAACTGTGAATTAATTTTTTTTTTTTTAAATATAAGCGACTGCTATTGTAACTTAAAAAGAGAATCTCTAGATGAAACTCAGGTTTCTATAACGCTCACCTAGTGTGGAAAGGTGCCGGAGTCCCCCGCTCCGGGAGGGGAGCTTGTGATAGTGTGGGGACGTTCACCTGTCTGGAACCTCAAGGAGGCCCCATGATGTGTGCTGTCCCTGGGGACAGGGACTGCTCCCTGTGGAGAGAACCCGTTAGAGCTGTGTGTGAAAGCCGTGAGCTCTCCTATGTGCTGTGAGCTGGTGTGCGTTGGCTCAGCTCTTACCGGAGCCCAGAGGCCTGGGTTGCCTGTGGAGACCTTGAGCGTCTCCCCCAGACCTTCCTGAACCCGTCTCCCCACTTTTAATTTAGGAAGTCGAGCTGGTTGATTTCTGAGTTCTCTTCCAGCTTTGTTGTGCTAAACACCCAGCTTGAGTGTGGGGGGCCTTTTGCTGTGGACATGACTGCATCCTCGTTCCCGTGGGTCAGCCAGTCTTCCTTGGTGACTCCCCACGCCGGCTTTTGTGCCTGAGCTGTTGCTCTCGGAAGAGCTGGGGGTGGGCTGTTTGGAAATTAACTCTCACTGCCTGAAAATGCAGGAAGCTTGAGTGTGAAACTCAACTCATCAAAAAGAAAAAAAAAAAAAAACAGACGCAGAGCAAGAAACCACAGAGCCTATCAGCCTGTCGTCATCGAGCAGACTAGAATAGTGCAGAGAACTCTAGGCAGAGAGGAAATGAACTTGTGAGAAGGGGGAACACACCGCAGGGCAGAGAGGACAGCAAGAGGGTGGGAGTGGAAGGAGCAGCTGCCGTGCAGGGCACCGCGATGGTGGGAGGATGGCCGACGCGGCGGTGAAGCAGGGCTTCCTGTACCTTCAGCAGCAGCAGACTTTTGGGAAGGTAGGGGGAGCGAGGCTGGCCTGGGGGAAATTCCCAGGGAGGACAGGGGTGTGCCGAGTGTCCCCCAGCCCTTGTGGGATGGCGGGGACTGTGCCATTCGCCACGTTAGACCCAGAGCTGAACCTGGGAGGGCTCCTTCCTTGGCAGCTGCTTGTCTCCCCAAGCAGGCCCCACCCTGTGTGCTTGCCTGATGCTGCTCCCCCAACCACTGCCCTGGGATGTGGGGCGGCAAAGGAGGGCTCTAACTCCCTCTCTTACCTCTCTTGCTCTGTGCTGACTTCTCATGGGAACACCTTGGAAGGGAAAGAAAGAAGCAGAGAGGGTGATCAGGACTACAGTGACGTGCCTTCCTCCTTTCCTGCCCCATGGGTGGGGTAGCTTTGGCTGAGTGTTAAGCTTGAGCAGAGAACCCAGTGTGTCCAATTTCCTTCTCCTCCCTTGGCCTCCTTGAAGGAGGAAGTCCTCCTTCCCTCGACTGACCCACCCTGGACATCTCTCTCTGTGTCTCTCTACCCCCTCCCGTCTCCTCTCCACTCCTCCTTTCCTGCCACCCTGTCAAGAGATGAGATGGGAAGGTTCAGGAGGGTCGACTGAATTTCCTGGAGGTAGGGCCTTCTACAGAAGGAGAGCGGTGGTCTCCAGGAGGGCCCTGGCGCTGCCCTCCCCACCCCTGCCATGGGCGAGGATCCCCTGGGTTGAAACTGCCCGGCCTTGCAAGCCACCCTCACTGTGCTGCGTCTGCCTCCGGCGTGCTCTCTGCTGTCATCTCAGGCCTCTCTCTTGCTTGCCTGCGGTGGATCTCCAGTTCCAATGCTTTTTAATTCCTTGGGCCTCGCTTCTTTTCTTCCGGGGATCTTTCCTGCTCTCCCCATCCCCAAGTGGCTGCCCAGTCCCTTCCCATGGTTCCTCCACTCTGCTTTGGTCACCGGCTCTCCGTCTCCGGTTGTCTCCCTCTCGGCACCCCGCTGCCATGCATCTGGGTTCAGAAATGGCGCAGGTTCAGGGCTACGCTGTATGGGCAGTCGGGCTTTGCCCTGGCCCGGCTGGAGCTCCAGGAAGGCTCTGAGAAGTCGCGGCGGGGAGAGGTGATCCGCCTCAGTGACTGTGTGCGGGTGACTGAGGACGGCGGGGAGGCCAGCAGCCCCAAGGACACCAGCACCTTCCTCCTGAAGACCAAGGAGCGCCTGTACCTGCTGGCGGCCCCCACCACCGAGCGAAGCGGCTGGGTGCAGGCCATCTGCCTCCTAGCCTTCCCTGTGAGTCGCCTGTGGTGCAGAAAGGGCAAGGGAGCAAGGGCCGTCCCTACCGGGTGTGGGCAGTGTTGTAAGGGCCAGGGCCAGGGCCAGGATGCTGGGGGCAGCTCCTTGGTGGAGGTGACCCCAATCCAGAATGCAGACAGGGCAGCAGGCTGAGTGCACCCTGAAAGAAAGCCTGGGCTCGAGGTGGGGCTTGCGTTCGGCGACAGCGGTGAGACCCTGGCCTTCTCCCCAGGGCGAGAGGCGGAAGCTGTCGGGGCTGGGCAGCTGGCCCTGCATGGAGGAGAATGAATTGTACAGCACCGCAACCACAGGTGAGGGGCTGCCTGCTGTCCCCAGGCCACGCGGTGGGGTGGAGGTGTGGGCCAGCCTCGTCTCTGTCTTTAGTCTTCCTGTCTGTGGTTGTCCCCAGCCCCAGCCAGCCCCCTTATCAGCCTCTCTGCATCGCTTCCGGGCGTGGCCCAAGGTGGAGGAGCCTGGCCTGCCCTGACTGTCTGCCCTTCACCCTTCCTTGACGGCGCTCTGCCCAGGCCCTGCTGGTGGTCAAGGGCAGGGCTGAGGGGCCCGCTGAAGGCACTGCTCTTGAGTCCTCTGTCCTTAGGACCTGAGCAACTCCTGGGGGAGGAAAAAAAAAAAGCTTTCTTTCTGTGGATTGAAGGCGTCCTGTGACAAGGGAGCTTTTTGCTGACGGGGCAACCCCCCTCCAGCCAGCTGCCTGGGCTTTGGGTGGGTGTGTGTTTGGGAGGAGCAGGAGGATGCTGGGGGGGGGGCATCAGGCCCCACCCGCAGTGTGTGAGGAGGGTGAGAGCTGCGAGGGCGGGCTGAGTTGTGCCTGTGGCCGGGACAGTCAGGACTGGGGAGATGGCTGCGTTGATGAGATGGAAAAGACAGAGGCTATGGTTCTGGCAACAGGGTAGGAAGGATGTGGGCACAAGGTTGGGGTGCCTGTGGCTAGGTCATGGTTCCTACCAGGGTAGGGAGAGGTAGGTGGCGTTTGGGTACATAAATGATACTTTTTCTAGCAACCTCCAGCCTGTGCTCATTGAGAGCGCGGCGGGGAAGAAGCCCGCTGAGCAGAGGGTGGAGGCCGGCTGAGCAGCCTCTCCTCTCTCTCCCCTCTCCCCAGTGGCCCCCTGCAAGGAGTTTGCTGTGGTCGTGAGACAAACGGAAGCCAGTGAGAGGTGCCAGCTCTGGGGGGCCTACACCCTCCGGACTGGAAAGAATGCCCTGGAGCTGTGGGGTGGTCCGGAGCCCCGCACCCAGCTGTACGAGTGGCCCTACAGGTTCCTGCGGCGCTTTGGGCGTGACAAGGTGAGCGGGGTCAGCAGGTGGGCCGAGAGAGAGGAAGAGACTATCAGGGAGAGCGCCAGGGGCCTGCGAGGAAGAGACCATTGGAGGTGGGAGGAAAGAGGAGATAAAGGCCGAAGGAGGGGATGGGAAGAGAACTGGAGGAGGGGGAGTGAAAGCAAAGCGGCTGGCGGGAGAGAAGGTAGAGGAGGACGGAGAAGGAAAGGAGACCGGGGAGGCAGAGAGCTGGAGGGTCGGTGGTGTTGGGCGTCCCGAGGATGAGGTGCGGGCCCAGCTCCACAGCTGGATGGGGGGTGGGGGCGGGGATGCAGGGAGAGGAGTAGAAGGTGAGGGGGGCTTTGCTGGGAAGGACTAACATGGAGGGAGGGAGGGAACCAGGGAGGAGACAGCTTGGGGAGAAGGCTCCAGCAGGTCCCAGTGGAGGGCAGTTGGGGGTGCTGGGCTTGAGTTTTGGAGCTGGGTCTAAGAGCCACCCCCATGCTGCGTGGCCCAGCCAGGCATCCGCCTTTCCCCCTTGTCCCAGGTAACCTTCTCCTTCGAGGCAGGCCGGCGGTGCGCCTCTGGAGAGGGCAACTTTGAGTTCAAAACCCAGCAAGGTGATGAGATCTTCTTGGCCCTGGAAGAGGCCATCTCGGCCCAGAAGAACGCAGCCCCTCCTGGGCCACAAACCCCGCTAACCACAGGGCCGGTGGTGCAGCCCCGGCCAGAGAGCCCCTACTCCCGGCCCCATGACTCGCTGCCGCCCTCTTCGCCCACGGCCCCAGCACCCCCCTCCCGGCCGCGGGGGCCAGAGGGGGAATATGCAGTGCCCTTCGATGCGGTGGCCCGTAAGCTGGGGAAGAGCTTGAGGGGCATCCTGGTGGTCCCTCCCCAGCCCCCCGCTGACCCTCTGTATGACAGTATTGAGGAGCGCCCGCCTTTGAGACCCGACCACATCTACGATGAGCCTGAGGGGGTGGCAGCCCTGCCGCTGTATGACAGCCCCCATGAGCCCCAGGGCGAGGCCTGGAGGAGGCAGGCCATGGCGGATGGAGACCCCAGTGGCCTCCAGCACACTTACCCGGCGGGGAAGGACTGGCTACAGGGAGCCGAGTATGACAATGTCATACTTAAGAAAGGCCCAAAGTGATGGTGGGCTGAGGCGTGGGGGACCCTGTGGCTAAGGCCAGCACTGGGGCGGGCCTGTGCTCAGCGGGCAGGGTGGGAGGCTGGCAAGCAGGAGTGCCATGGGGAAGGCAGGCGCCCCTTCTAGTGTCCGCTGATGACTCCTGCCCCCTGCGTCCCAGGAACCTACCCCTGCTCCACCCTGAGCCCTAGGCTCAGCCCGCCTTAGTCTGGTCCCAGGAATTGTCATTCCCAGGGCCTGCTGCTGCGTGAGTCACCATCCCAAAGCAGGAAGTGCACTCTGAAGAGACCTGGGCCCTGCCCTCCTACTCCTTTTACACTTCCTCTTGTTTCTTTCCCGGGCCTAAGGGAGCCCCAGGCATTTAGGGCAGAGGACAGAAGGATGTCAGCAAACCGCCTGGCTTGTGCAGGCCTCCTGCCTGCCCATGTCCCCTTGGGAGGACAGCCCTGGCTCCAGGTACCCGGGAGGTGGCTGCAGCGCCCTGCACGTTTTGGACTTCCCTGTGGCATTAAACGTTGCTGAAGCGTTTCTGTGTGGCTTGAGTGCTGTGGGGGGTGAGGGTGGGACAGCAGCAGAGCATCCTGGGACATGGGAATGAACGCTTCGATCGGCCGCCACGCCACCGATACCTCCTGTCCCAGCAGCACCGTCCTCTGTGGATCCAGGCTGGGCCCTAAGCACCTGAGCTGGGGATCTGCAGAAATCGGGGCACAGCAGGAAAAGAGGTTCAAGCATCTCCAACCCTTTGTGGGTATATGGCCAATGAGAGAAATGGAGGAAGTGGTGTGTATGCGTGAAGAGCTGGTCTGGAGGACAGGAAAGAGTTGGCAGTTCTGAGCCTCTTCTGCCCCTGAAAGGAGATAGATCCCATTCAGCTTATTACCTTCCTTGAGATTTGCTCTCTTTGTAAAATGAGGGGTTCTAGGGTTCCGTCCCACGGGCTCTGAGAACCCTTCCACCCTGCAATTCTCCACTGGCCCCTGTGCCCTGTGTCTCGTTTCCTGGCAGGTCTGGGCCTGTGCATTCTCTTCCTCAAAACCTGCTTTCCTGGAAGGCAGGTCCGCACACGGCTGCTGCCAGCCGGGCAGCCAGGGTTACGGAGCACCGTCTGCAGGCTCTAGGCCGTCCTGGCCTTGAGACGCCTACAGCCCAGAGGGGGCTGAGACAGGGGCACAGATGCCTATCCTGAGAGGGCGACTTAGTATCACAGTGTGACTCAGGGGTTTGAGTTAGAGGAGGTACCTCTGGGTTCACTGGGGGACCAAGACAGGCTTCCTGCGGAAGGTGGCATTTAAGGGGGACTTTCGAGGCGGGCAAGGGACTTGATGATGATTAAGGAGATGTGAAGAGAGCATCGGGGAAGGAAAGCCAGTGTGAGTGAAGGGGCGGGGGTTCTGCGGAAAGAGATCTGCGTTGCGAGTGGAGGGCACACGCAGCAGCCCCCCGGCCGTGCTTCGGGGGAACGTGTGCCTAACAGGAGGGAGGCGTGACGAGGCTTCTGAGCCAAGTCCCGCGAGAGCCGCAACTAGGGCAACGACCCCGGGGAAATGGACTGGCCGAGGGGTGGGCTGGGGCTGAAGTGTGAGGGGAGTTCAGAACAGACTGGATTCTAAGGACGCTCTAGAGACGGGACCTGCAAACCTTGGAGTCCTATTAGATGTTGAACACAGAAATAAGGTTTCCGGAGAGATTCAGGTTTGGGGAAGAAGGAGCGCTTGGTTTCTGATGTGTTCAGGTTAAGATGGCTTTATTCCATAAAGCCAGAGGCATGCCCAAAAGCAGCTGGAGAGGGGCTCTCCAGCAGGGGGGAGGTGAGCGGGGGAGCTCAGGATCGCGGGCAGCCTCGCAGGTCCGCTGTTGTGTCTCAGTGCCTCTGCCCACATAAAGGAATCCGAGGCATCTTCAAGTAGGCTGGAGACAGGGGAGGCCTTCCAGAAGTCCCAGCTCTTTTTGTCTGTGCCAGCGGTCTGTCCCTGCTGCCACCACCCTGCCCAAACCCAGAATACCCTGTCTCCAGGGCTTTCAGGCGCTCCCCCGTCCAGGCCGAGCGTGATGGGATTTGGCGCGGCTCTCGGGCAAGGGTGGCTTCCTTTCTTTCCATCTGCAGCGCTTGAGGTGGATGTTCCAGCTCCGCCCAGCAGGGGGCAGCGCTAGCCTGTGGAAAAGGCTGCCGGGGGCCTGTCTGCTGCCAGGCCTGTGGGCTTGCCCTGAAGGAGAGAAATTAAATATTTACGAACCCAAAGAATGGAGGATAACTCGAGGAATCTGCATTTCAGAGCTTATTCCTTCAGATCCTCGGAACCTTCTCTCTTCCACCTGAAGATCCTGGGACTACTGAATTCTTTATTCTGACACTACCAGCTTTGCTGGAAAGGGGAAGTGGTAGACTGGGGCAGTAGGAAGAGGTGGGTGAGGGCCACCAGGGCAGGGGAAGTGGAGCATTTGGGGAACTTGGGAAGGGTAATGAAAGTCTTTGAGACAGTTGTCGAGGACGTGGACCACACTGCCTGGGCCCTTGCAGAAGACACGGCCAGGCCGGTGGGTCACCCACACCCTCGCTGATGAAACATGCATCAACTCTTAGTTTATTCCTCCTACGTGCCCCACCCAGAGCTGCGGAGCTGGCTGGACAGCCAGTTCCCACCCGCTTGGAGCCCACTCGCGGGTTCATGAAGGAGTGAGTCATGGGGACCCGCCTCCTCAGACAGAAACATGGAGGGAAAGCCCTCCTTCCTGACAGTGTCTCTGTGCCCGCTTGGTGTCGAGGGGCAAGTTCACAGGTCAGGAGACAGACCGGTTTCAACGGGGCCGGGGCAAAGTAAGTCTGAGGACCGGGAAAGGCTCCTCAGCCTCAGGGTCTGTTTGCTACCCGGCAGCTGTTGGTACCAGCAGAAGCTATGCTGTGACCGGGAGGCTGTTTCCATTTGCTAATTATTATGCAGAGGTGATATCAAGGCAGGTAAGAACTGCCCTGTGGCGGATGTCCATCACAGAGCTGTGCCCACAGGTTCCTATAACTGCGCATGTGCACACACAAGCACATGTTGTCACTCTCCCTGCTTCTTTTCTTCTCTCTCTTTTGTCTCCTCTCATATTTTCTTTTTCCAGAGCATATGAATGGTGTGTCAGTGTGAGTGTGCGTGGGGTGGGGGTGGGGGGGCTGCGGTCCCCCTGAAAGCCCACTCCAGGCCAGGGCCCCTTGGTGAGTTCCCGCCTCGGAGCCTCAGAGTCAGCCGAGGCCCAGATTGCCTGCGCCTCTCGCTCCCTCCGACTCCTCCCTGATGGCTGCACGCAAGCTGTTGCTGCCACCACCTTTCAGCTGTGATGCTAAGCAGCTTCCCGCCTCCTGCCTCATGGGCGCTGATTCAATTAGCCAAGGTGCCCACCTCCTGTCAGGGCCATTTATAAAGTCAGCTGGGGCAGCCGGAGACCTCAGGGAGGACAGGGCTGGGCAGCAGCGGGGAGGTCGCTGAGCTGGGTGGGGAGGTAGAGGAATGAGGGGGGCTGGTAGGGGCATCTGATCCGATTAGCTGTCAGGCTGGCTTCCCGGGGCAGGCGGCGGGGAGTCACGCCCGGCTCCGGTCCTCGGCTCCCAGGCCCGTCTGATGTTGGCTGGTGCTGAGCAGGGTCCACCCATCTCCAGACTCTTCCTAGTATCCCTCTACCCCAGGAGCCCTCTTCTTGGTACTGCCTGCTCCTGGATCCCTGGGCCAGCAGCGGCTGGTGTACGTGGGGCGGGGGGGGCAGGTAGGGGGAGTGTTCTGAGGGATCTGTGGGGAAGCTGGTATCCCAGGGTTGGGCTGGGTGATTCTGGGACCTGCACCTCGGGCAGCCTGTGCTCCAAGGAGTCTGATCAGAGTGCGCCGGCTCAGGGGCAGGCTGAACGTATGCCTGTGGGGCAGCGGCATTTGGGAAAATAACATTCTTGTGTTTGTACAGCATTTTCTCGTGTACAGGCTGCTCTGGGGGCAGCTTGGTGTGGCCGGCTGGGCACACAGATGGGGGCCTGACTCTCTGTGTTCAAGTTCCGGCTCTGCCACGTGCTAGCTGTGTGTCTCTGTGCACCTGCTTCCACATCTGTAAAGTGGAGATAATAGTAATATATTGCCAGAGGCTTGATGTGAAGACAAAGTGAGTGAGGGAAAGCACACCTTCTACAGTGGCGCCTGGCACGGCCAGAGCGGCAGCAGTCTCCGCCGACTCGCTCCGCCTGCCAGGGGCTCCACTGGGCCAGCAGTGCCCGGCGAGGTGTCTGCCTGTTTTACAGGCAAGGGAATGGAGACAAAGACAAGCAGAGTCCCTTATCTTTGGGGGTGAACTCAGGCTTTGTGGGAGTGGGAGGACCTGCTTGGAAAGGAGAGGCAGGATTTTGATGGGAAGAAAGAAGAGTGGAAAAGTATTCCAGGAGAGGTGAGGGAGCAACATCAAAGGCCTCTCTGCTGCAGGATGGGTGGCTCCTGGCTGGGAGCCTCTGCACAGCTGGGCAGAGCGGGCTTGCCCACCTTATGGCACCCAGATATGGGAGAGCTTCAAAGGAGAGTGGCTTTCTAGACTAGAAGGCCTTTGGCTGGAGGCAAGGCTGGAGAACCGAAGCCACAGGGCAGATTTCTTCCTTTCATCTGAGCTGCGCGCTGCATCCACTCGGGGCCCTGCAGCTGGAACGCCGGCACGAGGGCGGGCTCCCTGCTGGGCAGGAGCTCCTGGTGGTCCAGTTGGCATGACCCACCAACGGGTGCGATCAGTCAGTGCACAGCCTGGAGCCCACCTGTCTCCCTGTGCCCACCTCCAAACCCGGAGCAGGCGGCTGGGAGGAGGGGCAGACAGGAGCAGAGAGCACCTGAAGGAGACTTGCCTTCTCTCCCGCTAGACGTCAGACGTCCTGTGGATGGGGTTCATCCTTTACCTGAGTTATTGTACCTCCGGCACCTAACGCAATGCCCAGTACAAGGTCCGCAGGCTTGGATAACTCTTTCTTGACCGAAAGAGTAAAGGAAACCCACTGT